CGTTGTCTTAGGCCGGCCTACCGCCCAATTCGAGCGCGTGGCAAGATGTGATCGCCCGGCGATCGATATTGCTATGCGCACATCTCGCCACGCGCTCGAATTGGGCGGTAGGCCGGCCTAAACAACGATTTTTAATAATTAATTACTCGTTAACTATTACGAAAATTGCAAAATGGTACAGGACTTTTCCGTTCATCTCGATCCGTTCTACCTTCTCAAAAATTTTGTCGGATATGGAAAGACTCACCCTGTATAGTAAATACAATCACAATTATAATAAATTTAACTACATTTCTATCATCCACTTTACTAATCACATAGTAAATGAAAGTGAAGTGCTTCGGAATGTCCTCGCTAGAGGGACGCGCGGTATAAGACTTTCTCGTAACAAGAAAACCGCATAGGATGTTATAAATACAGATAACTTTATACATTTGTATAAGATTACTTATCTTTTCTTTGAAAGATGCTTTCTTGTGCTATTCTTTATGAGTGCAAAGTGATGTAACCAATGAATATAGCGAACGCAATGTATATACAATAAAAAACGGGGAATATTGCTTCAGTTATTAGAAATTTTACTCGTGGTTGTTATTGCAATATTTACAGTACACCTTACCAAATTAAAAGCTCGTTTTGGTTTGTGACAACCATATCGTTGCATGGACCAATATTGTGTCTATGAGAACTATAATACATTGTTGGGTCAACCATAACCAACGTAGTTGGAAGAATTATAAAAATGTGGTTGGCGCCTAAAATGACTATAAATTATAGCGAGATTGTGGTAACTGCAATCATTCTTTTCTGTCAGTGTACTTAATATTTTTGTAATAAGTGAAATGTTGAATTTAACACACCGTGAAAATACTCGAATAGATATTATATAAGTTTTGCTTTGTACTTTTAATAGTTAAGTATTTGTTATCAGCTGAGTTTTGTGTTTCCATCTGCATAGCAATGTTGAATGAGATTGGAAAGCAAGTCAGATCTTAAGTCGAGATCTCACCCACGACCACGCCGCTTCCACTCCGCTTGAACTTGGTATACCAACGCTGTTAAGCCATCTGAGAGCAGTTTTCTTACGCTCAGTCATTATACTTTCTCTGTAGTACGGTTTTTAAATTTAATTCAATATGTTTGCTGAATATGAGCAATCTGTTTAATACGCTCTCCCGATTAATTAAGTCAAGGCAAATTTCTCTACGATCCAGAGCTTGAAAAAGCTTCGATCGAGAGCATTAATTTAAAAGTCTCAATTACGATATCGACGGTGCCAAAGGTTTATTTTAAACGTAAGTAGTGCACTAGAATAACGCGAGAACAATTCTCTCGAGATGATCGATCGACTAATCCTCGGTTTTCGAATTCTTGACCGTGCGATGGTGGAGCGCCCGAATAAATTCGCTTATACTCGGATGAATCAAGTTCACCCTGAGGTCGCGAACGGATCAGTCCTTACTTTGTAGCTGGGAGCAAAACTTTATCTGCACTTGATGATACTTAGTCGAGTGCTCGACGAGGAATCGGTATCTCGAGTGCACTTGACCGAATCTTTCGGGAGTCCGTGCCGTCGATCTCGTCGGCAGATCTAATCGCTATCTATTTCATCAACTTTTACGAGCGCCGCAAATCAGGTGCCCCGACAGGTCCGCTATCGGCACGTTTTACAGGCAACAAGCCTGGCAATTTATTTTACCTCCGCGTTCGAGCGTGGACAGTAAATAATTCGTGCGCAATGAGACGCGTAGAGCCGAGGAAAATCGATGGAGTCGATGCGAGCGAATACACAGATTTCGATACATCTGTCGATTGTCTGCAATGCGAGTTTTTTTTTCGTCGCTCGCCCGCAAATTTAAGAGAGCGGTCTCTTTTCTCTCTTTCTCTCTCTCTCTCTCTCTCTCTCTCTCTCTCTCTCTCTCTCTCTCTCTCTTTCTCCGTCTCCCTTTCGTTACAGATTGGTAGAGAAGGTCTCCTTCGCGCTGTCCTCGAGACGCGATTATGACGCTCGGACAAAAACAAATTTAATAGCCTTTCCGTTGTATTCAATACGGCGCATACGGGAGCGCGAATACGCGCGCGTATGTGCCGTCTGATCTACGAGGGGCGAGAATCGGGGACGTTCAACAGCCCAGGAAAATGTTGGGGAGGCCGATCCGATCGATTAACACGTGCGCTTTAAATGTTTGGGGGCTACAAAGCGATCGCAGCCTCGATGATTACAGCCGATGTTGCTAACGAGGCACGATAGGTTCGCAGAACCAACCGAAAGTAATTTCGACGCGCTCTTCCGCCGCTTGTTAGCGCTGATGGTCAACTTTGGCAACGGAAATTGATCCCTGTATCTTTAACGCTTTGTATATATGTAAAAAAAAAAACGGATATCTAGCCTTGCAATAATATTAATCAGATAAATAAACAATTCACAGAGAGCTCTAGGAATGAAATCAGAAACCGCCCTTTTTATTTTCGGCAAACGAATCGAGTTTCTGTCGACGTTGGATTTTCAGTCGTAATTTTTTTATTGACGTACGCGGTCGGCAAATCTTTTTGAATTGTTTTACCGAAACTTTATCCAATACGCTCCGACAAGCGCGTCCCATTATCGACCGCCATTCTCCCGTATCTCCCGTACAACGTTTTCGATTACGAAATAATTTCCATCCAATCGTGTCTACTGTATAATATTTCGTTTGTCACCCGAGCGTGTTCGACGTTTATCCTCCCCAATCTGCCATCCAAGCGCGGGGAGCGCTGCGCACGTGTTTTTTTTTATGCGTGTAATGTATATACACGCACACACACGCGCGCGCGCGCGCACGTGCACACACACACAAATCCAGATATAGCGCGCACAGAGAGGGAGCGATTCGGAGGTTGACGTCATCCACGTCCCACCCCCTTTAAATTCATGCTGAATGCGACTACGAGCGACCGACCGACCCAGCCTCTGCCTTTTCCCTTCGTTTCTCTTTTCCCTTCCCGCCGCTGCGTTCCGTTCTCTCCGCTCACCACCGCCCCCCGTCATTCGACGGCAGGAGAAAGAGCGAGAGAGATGAGAAGGGGTGGAGGGGAACCCCTCTGTAGAGCCTGCAACGGGTTTCTATTCTCGGATGTCAATATTTCGTCAACTAGAGCCCACTCGGCGCGCAACAAAAGGCTCCGCCGGGTACAGCCGTTGCTGTAGCGTGTGAGAAAGAACGAGGAGCATGTATACGTTTTATAAGAGGATGCACGGCGAGAGAGCGCGACCGCGAGAGCGGGAGAGAGAAAGCGCGCGCGCGCGCGCGCGCACGCCGTGGGGATCGAAGTGCCAGGATTGCGCAAAGGGCGAGGCATCTCGGGTACGTGGTCGGGGTGTAATTTTGTCGGGGCTTTTAACAGATATCTCGGATTCTGTCGGATAGAAACAAAAAACACCGAGAAAAACGACGCAGGTAGAAAATGACGTGTAAAGAAGCAGATCCGTTGACACGTTCCGAAGCGATTGGACGGGGCGGAAATTTGGATCGCGGATTTGCCGGTCCAGGCCGCCTGCATTCTTCACGACGAAGTCCTTCTGTCGCCTTCAACGTTTGCTCACCTCGAGCATCACCTCGGATCGCGGACTGGAATTTCGACGTTTCGACTTTCCGACTTTACTAGTCGCCGACGTTTGAAAAACGTCGTTCGCGTGCGCGCGCGTCGCGACCGATCGATCGATCGATCGATCGTCACGATCGACTCCGGGGACGCGCGTAAATCGCGGCGTCCAGCTCCGTGCCGTTGGATTCCCGAGCGATCGATTTTCGCATAATTGTCATCCCCCGATATCGAGGAAATGATTGGAATTTTCCGCATCGGGTCGCTCCGAGTGTCTCGAGTTTGGTCTCGACGTTCTCGACGCATCCCGACGTGACGCGCTTTGACACGGCAACGAAGGCGAGTAATAATTCGCGCCGGGAGGGAATCCTTGTACGAGATAAATAAAACGGGCCCCTCTCTCTCTCTCACGGTCGCCGCCGACACATAATAGCCGCGTTCTCCTCGGCCGCGCTCGCGTCCGCGTATGAACTCGGCTTTAAGGTGAGCGAGTGCTACCAACGTCGTCTCTGGAACAGCGAGAACCTGCGGCGTCGAAAAGCGATCGAGTGCTGTTCGACACTGATCATTTCGTACAACGTGTTTACTAGGGATCATCTGTATTTTATCTGTATTTTACGCTCTATATGAGTGATACATAAATTTTCTCATCGGATCCGGTATCCTAAATCGGCGCGGAAGGACCCTACGTTCCGTAAAGATAAAAATACGTGCTTGCAAGAACGGCCGTTAGGACAACGGCGCGTGCGGGTGATGGCGAATGCATTAGGTTTAATATAATTTAATGAACAAATATGGTAATCGGTGTGTACAGCGCTCATCGAGTATTGGCTACGGTGGGAATCAATACCGTGATCGATCGCTGATTGCAGGATAATCAAAATCACTCGTCAAACACGCGTAATTTCCGATAATGCCCGCCATTTGGCGCGCAACCGCGTTCCCAAGTAGTATAGCCGCTCGATGCAGAGATACGAGTCGAGGTAGCACAAAGAAAGCACTGTCGCGAAAGCGACTTTCACATGACGGAGGGTCCCGGAGGAGGATCCAGGGGCCCCGGGGCCCCGAGGCCCCCTCGCACGATTTGCTCGCGCTGGAAGACGGTACTGAGCACTGAAAGAGAGGGAGGTCGGGTCGGAACGAGGGGGAGGGGGGTACTACAAACGAACGGCGGATGCCGATCGCAACACTTTGCTAAAATCAGGACAACGAGGAGGAGGAGGAGGAGGAGGAGGATGAGAGACGGGGATCCGAGAGAGAGACTGAGACTGAGACCGAGACGAGACGAGACGAGACCGTTGAGACATCGAGCTCGCGACACGTAAACAGGAGCGAGCGCCCGAGGTCGACTCACGGCGAGAATCGTGGGAGGATTCCCTTCGTTTCTCTCTTTCTTTTTTTTCTTTTTTCCCCTGTCCGTCTGCAGTGTGGGTGGGATTAGAGAGACGGGGGCGCTGTAGAAAGAGGGGTGGACAACGGTGGGAGAGGGCTTTGATCTCGGCAGCGGCAGCTGCCGCTGCTGCTGCGTCGCGTCGTTATTTTCGGGCGGATCGCCGAGACAAAAAACATTTTTGCGGGATAGCCTATCTCCTTTGTGGGCCGACGGCGTTTACCTGAACACATCGACGTATCTCTCATCTCGCCGGAATGCGTCTCGGTGCCCGCATTTTCTCACCGGGCTCCGGCCCCGGGCGAGATCGCGGAGACGGCGTCCGCGACGTGGACCGCGAGAACCCTCGAATGGTAGAATGTCTTTTCAATTCTTATTACCGAAAGAGCCAGCGCGCGTTCGGCCACTCGTAGAACCAGTGCGAAACGCCCGAAAGTTTATGTTATTGAGTACATTTTCCATTGTTAAAAATATATGCGACGCACCTCGCTCTTATTTCATCAAATTGTTGAAACAATTTATGCACGTTCTTTGGTCAAACTTGCAATGACCAATTCGAATTACCAATTAGGTATTTTTAATTATTATAAAGAAATGTATAGTTTAAACTGTAATAGTCTTATTTACACATAAATGATGTATTTATATATTAATAATACAATACATAAAACATACTTTACACATCAATACTCAAGTAACTTGTATAGAGAAACGGGAGAGTCTTGTACAGAACGTCCGGAACTTGAGGAATGTAGAAATGTTATTATGTGAAATATCACAAAGGAGACCAGCCAGGTACTTTGAAATACATAAGCGATCGGAAAAGAGAAACATCATCATCCTGTGTGCCGTCAAACTAGGCGTGAAAATCGCGATGCGATGTGGACACAGATCGTTACGCGTGTGTAGGTGCACCGAGGTGGACTTAATAGGCCATGGCTTTAAACGGCCTCGATATAGCATCTATCATCCTCGAAGCTATACACGTGTCGCTCTATCAAGTGTGTCTAATTTTAAAAAATTAGCTGGCTACCTCGCATACGACTATTCAAATTGATTCTGCAGATCGCTATTAACATGTCGCAAAATCGACCGGTTAGCTCGCCTACATCGCGCGTCCTTTA